TTCGATGTACCTTTTCTCAAAATCTACTGTAGATACAAGCTTGAAATTTTTTCTGTAATTAAAGTATACCTATATCTGATTATACTGAAATTAGCTTTTGAAACATTTTGAATTTTAGAGTAAATTACAGGATATTTTCTTAGGCATAGTAAAATTTAGCACTTTTCTCACACAAAAATTTTTTTCCTACGTTTATTACAAAAAGCTCTTTTCAGTAAATATTAGGAAACCTAATAAATAAGCCATAAAAAGTTTAGATACCTAGAGCAGTAGTTCCTGAGAAAAAGTACATCGAGTATAAAAAAAATCACATTTGGAGAAAAATGTGTTTTTATGTAAAAATCCTCATTGATCAAAGGATCAAAGCAGTAGATGACAAATCAAAACATTTTGGCAAAGCAGTAGATGACAAATCAAAACATCAAAACAAATCAAAACTTTAACCAACTCCCCTTAAAAAGTTTCAAATTAAAAAAAAATACTAAATTTTATGCAAAATTTTTTTTTTTTTTTTTTCCTTCTTAATGGCTTGCTCTTCAGGCATTCTGCAAGTATATTAAAAAGCATCCAACTTTTCGAAACATCTTGGTATTTCTGACATTAATTTTAAATAAAATTATTGCCTTCCATTTTATAAAGGCTCACAAACGGCTGAGCGGTAAAGTCGCTGATATTGGTAGTTTGCTACGGGGTTAGAATCTCGGGCTGGTTGCATGGGCGTTTTCGTGGTTTTTCTCATTGTAACGTGTATTCTGGCTGGTTTCCCTTAGAAAGTTCTTCACGAAGGCATCCCTCCTTTTAAGCAGATAGCCCTACTTTGCTGTAGCTTAATAATCTAATTCAATCCATTTCATCAGTATTTGGTCAGAGCCTCTATTAGTCTAAAGGCTAAGCATTTTGAAGGCATGAGATGAAAAGAAAGACTGGTTTCATGAAGAGGGAAAACGTCTTTAGGTGACATCCATATACATCACTGGATAAATTCGTAAATATTCAAATAATTTGACTAAGAAATCATGGGATTCTCTGTTTATGATATTCTGTAATGTAATTAAAATTTATACAAACATATAGTCACTCTTCAATTTGAATTTGCAATGATATCATTTTTGTCTTTTCTGTTAGCACAAGCTCAGTTGATGGTATTTGCTGGTGTACACGTCCAAGTGCTTTCTCTTTGAACACCCAAATTCTGTGAAGTATTCTGAAAGTATATTCAAAAGCATCCAACTTTTCGAAACACCTTGAAGTTTTTAACAGCCAAATTCCTCTTCAAATTTTTGCTTACTTTTCTTCTTTCCTTATACATTTAGTTTCAGTGCTCACCACAAAAAAATTAACAATTTTTCAATTGTTACACTTCCATAAATTTTGCATTCTTGCCAATTTTTTAAAAATATCAATTACATCAACTGCGTTTCAGTTGAAGATAGCTTTTCATTTTCTAGCCATTTTAACTATAAACAAAGTTTAAAGCAAAATCCAAAGGATAAATATTTTAGTTAAAAGATTTTTTGCTAAATGACAAAGAAATGAAACAGTCCAGCAGTGTTTAATCTGAACCATTGAGTGACCCGATTATTATATCGACTACAAACAATCTAAATCATATTAAAGATCATGTTTTTTATGCAATCTATAACATGAGAGAAAATTAGCTATTTAAATCATTCTTTCGAAGAGGGTTAATGGAAAAATTTATACTTGTATATATTATTTTTAAAGCTGGGATATGACCCCCAAACATTCAACGTCCTGTTTGCTTAAAAACATTATGAAAAGAAATATCAAACGAACTTTCTCAGTTTTAGATAATTCAAGTTAAATGCAGTCAAAGTAAAGTAGCAGATGATAACACGGCAAAGGTAAAAATTTGCTCTCAGAAATATTTTTAAAAAAAATCTGATGTGTACACCACATGACTTCCTTGTATTGGAATATTAAATTATATGCATTTTTCTTGCATTTCATTTAAATTTATTGGATTGAATTAAATCTACTTTACTGACAGCGCATAAACCACAATAGAATAAATGCATTCTTTAAAATTCACTCTAGTATTTGTTTACCATAGTGACACTCTGGCGCTAGATTCACTTAACAGTATTAATAATTATATAACAGTTAAATTATATAATAATTATATAACGGAAACTAAGTTAACTGTTATATAATCCAATAATTATTTAAGAGTTAACTTATATATTTCTTTCATATTATAACTCATAATGCACAAAATTTATATCATTTAAAGAATAGAATTATCTAATCGTTGCCACATGTTCTATTCAAATACTGTAATAAAGCTAGAATGATGTATAAAAGAAATTAAGCAAACAAAACAAAAAAGAAACAGTTTTTCACAGACGATTGAGTATTTCTCATTCAATTAATTCAGTTCTCACTTCGCGAGAAGGCAAAAATACATAAAAACTCAAAATATCTATATTAAGAATTACAAAGTAAATTTTAAATACTTATTTCCTCGAAAAATTCCAGAAAGAATTAAGCATGATTTAATTGGCAATAATAAATGAATGCGTTATCTTTGTTGTTGCGAAGCTAAGTTTCTCGAGATTGGCAACAAATCCACTAGTCTCCTGTTCCAAATGTAAACATCAATGGCCGCCATTAAAAAAAGGCTTAGTGGCACTTAGACAACTTTAAAATTGTTTATAATTCTAAAAATATTGCATACAGATTTACTAAGGCTCAAAAACATTAACCGGAAGATAAGAACAACATAATTCAATCATTTTTAAAGCAAGAAATGTACACCTTACAAACATATAAGAGTAAAGAAACTGAGCCGGGTATCAGAGACGATATATATATAAATATATTTACATATGTTTGGTGCGGCCAATTGCAACCAAAATACGAGGTGCACATCTACATGTTATAGCAGTCCTATATACAAAATTTCAACGTTCTGAGGCTACTCGTTTTTGAGTTATGCGAGATACGTACGTACGCACGTACATACGTTCGTACAGACGCCACAAAAAATTCTCTTCAGAATTAATTTTAAAGCAGTTTTATAATTTTTTTGAAGGAAAAGAATATTTTATTCTGTCCTTACGTACAGATATCACGCAAAGACATCGTTAAATTGCATTCGATTGCATTCAAAATGAATATTTTCGTTGAAATATGCTGCTTGAAACGTTTCGCGATTACAATACTTCCTTTTTACTTCGTACAAGGAAGTAAAAAAGAAAGAAAGAAATTTAAAAAAAAAGTTTAAAATTTGAATAATATCATCTATAATTAAAAAAAACTTTTAATATAGGATTAATAAATATTTATTATGCATCATTGAGGGAAAAAATTTCATATAATTAATTCTCCGTAAAAGTTTATTTGAAATTTAATGTTAAAAATAGCTGTGGCAATAAAGTAGGTGCTTAGAATAACACCTACTTTAAGATGATGGTAAAAATTTTATAGATTATAATTAAAAATTTTTTCGAAAAATTTATAAAAATTATTTAAAAAATAAAACACAAAAAATGGGTGAATTCTATTTGGAATGAACCTAAATTTCAAAATGTGAAAGGAAAAATAAAGTTTAATCAAAAAAGAGATATTAATAAATATATGCCAAATTCAATTAACATTGAGGAGCTAAAATTTTGAGAGCTAATTTTTTGAAAACTACTCATACGATTTTTACAAAACGTGGCAGTCTGCCATAATTTAAGTCGTAGAATCGAAATATGGAAAAACATTGGTGTGTTATTTCAGAAAAATTCCGTTTTTGGGTCAAAATACTATGTTAGAATAGTGCTATATATAAATCTAATATATATCCTAAGTCGCGTTTTCGAGACATGAAAAATGCAGTTTGAATTTTGTCAATCGGCCCAGTAGAGCGAGAGATGTAGAACTTTCCCTTTTTTTTTTTTTTTTTTTTTTTTTTGTGCAGTGTACCTAGTGTGTCATGTCAGTTAAAAATATGCTGACTGATTATTATGGAAGTTAAAGTAAAATTCAGTGGCATTCACAGTTCATAAGTTTCTTGAAAAAATTACAATTCTGCTGTTATATGAATTACAGTGTTATTTATAATATATAATGTTATTTTTTGTTTATATTATGTAATATATATAAACTAATTTATAAATATTTTCAAAGAAAAATATGTATATTAACTCTTTATGCACAAATTCTGCTTATAAAAATTGTGTAAATTCTAAAAAACATACTGTCTTTCGAAATCTTTTTTTCTGGCTGTCATTTAATTCAGCTTTAATATACTTAAACCAATTAAAATTGAATACATTAAAGGCTAATGATTTTTTAAAGGTGTATTATATTTTTGTTTATATTACACCTGTAGCTTAACAAGCAAGCTATTTTGATCTTTTATTATTATTATTTTTTAATACAGTACAAAGTCCGTAATCTGGACTTGTCGGGACTTCGGCGATTCCGGATTATAGATCTTCAATTTAAATTTGGTAAGATGGCATGCAGAAATTATACAATTAAAAATATGAAACCGTAATTTATGAAATAAAGAGCAATTATGATCTAAAGGATATCAAAATTTACAAAAAAAAAAAAAAAAAAAAAAAAAAAAAAAAAGATTAATATTTAGTTTAGTAAACATTTCTTTCAGTGTAAGTTGTTTATGTTGCTTCGTTTTTTGTGCTAATACTTTCTCTTTAATTCTATAAACAGACATAATTTCTTGTTCAGTTACAAAGTTCCACTGTTCAAGTCCTGTAATTGCTGTGTCGAAAGTACCGACTAATTTGTCAATCGAAATGTTTTCGTTTTCAATAGCATTCTCTGATACTTTCTTCACTATCGGAGCACGCATGGGTAAACGCTTTACGCGCATGCATAGCGGATGCACGCATCAAACGCGCATGCTTAAGTTTGTGGGTTTGAGGTCCGGATTATAGATCATTCCAGGTAATGGACGTCTGGATTATGGACTTTGTACTGTATTATAATTAAACAAATTTTTAATGTGCTGTTTGTTGGTTTAGGTGAAGCTGAAAACATCTTGCAGTTTGAGGAGCATTTATTACATTTGCCATTGGGCCTTCCTAACTTTGACTCCATTGAAGAGGGTCGCCATGAGCAACAAGATGAAGAATCTTTAACCAAAGCTCATGATATTTTTCTGTGAAATACCTGTGATTAGAAATGAAACTTTTTTCTTATACACTTTTCAGCAATATTCACAATGAAATGGTAGATTTATTAATCTTAATGATACAAAAAATACAACTCTGCCATGACCAATATCATATGAAATGAGGCTTGTAATCTCATGTAATTTAAATTATCACTATGTTATAATGCATACCATTTGTACGATATTTGTGTAGATTTATGAATTGCAAAAATTTAAAGAGTTATTTTTCTGTTATTAATTCATATTTATAAGAGAAAATTAGATTTAAAATCTTTTAATATGATGATTTTTATTATTGAAAATATTGTTTATTTATTTAGTTTTTTATAAATTTTTGCAGTTGGTTGATTAATTTTTATACTGTTTCAGTAAAAAGCATTTTTTATCTTATACTATCCTTAGTGTAATTTAGTTTAAAAATAAAAGTTGATATATTTATAGGTTATAAAGATGAGAAATGTAGTCTATTAAACATATATATTTATGAATTCTATATCGTATGTTTTTCATAAATTTTATTTATAAAATGTGCTGATCTATAATTTATTTTTAAAATATATTTTTTATTTTATTGACAAGAATGTAAAATACATAGTCAAGAAATTTTTGTTTGAATTGCAGAAGTTTGAAGAAAAAAAACGCATTGAACATATTTTCATAAGAGGATGATTTATTTTTATATAGAGGAAGAGATTTTTAATTTTAAATAAAAATTTATCTATTGAAAAATTCTGAAATATACTTTATTCTCTTCGTTATCCATTGAAATACTCAAATAACCTATCTGTCGAAAACAAAGTGAAAATCTTAGCCATGCTCATAAATTTCATTACATGAGTTCTTGGTTCATAAAATAGTTGTTAAAGTTTTTTATTATAAAATGTTATTATTTGTTTGTTTTTATAGCATTTAATGATTAAATTCTAGTAAATAATTGAAAAAGGTCTTAATTATTTGCTTCTTTTTATCTGCATTTTGCAATTTAATACTATAATAAGTCCCTTTTGTTAATTGTGTCCCCAAAACTGAAGTGAACATATGAATCTTGGGATTATAAGAAATGATCTTAAATAATTAATAAAAACAGGAATAATCCTAAACTCTTAAAATGTTCATTAGCTAAGAATTTCTAGTTTCTTAGAATTAAAGTCCAGTTTACTTTCAAATATTTAAATGAAAAATCATGAATTATCTCAAATGCATACAGAAAAACATAGCATTTATTTACATTGTATTTTTTAGAGTTAAGTATTTTTCTTGTATGTATTTCTGTGGTATTTTGAAGTTTTAATTACTTCCACCTCTAGTTTTTATGATTTCCACCGTATGCTGAGTGAGATGAAATATTTTTCATACTAAGGGTTCTTTTAATAGGTTTTTGGGAAAAAAAATTAAATAAAACTATATTTTCAGTCTCATTTAAGTTTAAAATCTTTTCTAAAAATCCTTTTCAGTTTTGAAAGGTATACTGAATATGCAGTCTGAAAAATTACATTAGTGATGGCATTTAACATGACACCAATACCTTTAATGTCATTCTCATCATACTAGCTTACCCAATTTGCTTAACCATGTTTTGTATTAGAATTAAAATAATACTATTTAAAAGATGAAGAGATCACAGTCAACTCAAAAGTATGGCTTGACCTACTAGTTGGACAGCTTAGCTCTTGTCCTCTCATGCTCATAATTTTTGCCTTTATAGTCCAGCATCAAATCTGTTCAATAATGAATTTTATGGATTAAAATTATTGTTTAAAATTCATATAATTTCCTTTTATTATAATTCTTGTTATTTTGTTACATTTCTGTTGAATTTCAGTATTTAAAGAATAGTGGTATATGCATGATATTGATTTCTAAGAAAGTTTGTGGAAGTATATATAATGTTCATGATATTAGTAAAGTAGACAAAAGTGCATTTTAAAAAAATTACGAAAGAACTAACAAGTTTAAAATTAGGGTTTAGTGCTGCTGAGTTTTATAAATCAATTTTAAAAAATTAGAATTAAAATACCTAGAAAAAGCCATAAGAATACTTGAATGCAACCTATTCCTTATTTCTGAAACATGTTGCAAAAAGAAAAAATTTTAATTAATAATATTTGAACTGAAAATGCATATAAAACATGAAAAATGGAATCATACGAGTACCAAAAAACTTTGTTAATCTCTTTTGTTCAAAGCTTCAAACAGAACTTGTCAAGAGAAAAGTGTTTTGAAGCTTCAAACCAATTTGATTAGCTAGACCAACTAAAACTAGTTTCGTTCCAACAAATCTAGTGAGACTTCGAATGGCAAATCGAACTTAAATTTTTTAAAGGTGCCAAAACAAATGAACTGTCTCATTGAATTCTTGTCTTTTCCCAACTTGTTTCAGTTGTCCAATCCACAAAAGTATTAAATTTTGAAATAAGTATTACAAATTAGAGACTAAAAATTGAAACGGATAATATACAAGTAAAAGACAAGTAAAATGAAAATATAGAGACTAATGGAAATAGAAATTTGCCTATCAAGGCAAAAGATCAAATATAATTTAAATGTGAAAGAAATCTTTATAATAAAAAATAAACACATAGAAAGCTCAAACTATTTTCATACATGAAAATTAATTTGATTGTCCTTTCTAAAGACAAAAAAAGGCCTGGTTCGAATGCGTGAATTAATAAACTTTTGTTTTAAAAAGTTAGAAACCTGTTAAAGTAAAAACAGGAAAGAGCAAATTTGCTCAAAAATTTTAGATAAAACCAAATGCATTTTCTGTTCAAATATTGTTTATTAAATTTTTTTTTTCTTTTTGAAGTGTGTTTTCGAAAAAAGGGATAGTTGCATTCAAGTATTCTTACGGCTTTTTCTAGGCATTTTAATGCTAATTTTTTAATGTTCATGATAAATTTACTTTACAGAATAGCAGTTTTCAGGTTATATTCTTTCTCTTCATTTCTTGTCAAGAAAATTTTATGGTGATAAAGGTTACATTATTTTATCTGAATATTTTTATAAAATGTTGATGAAAACCGTAGAGTGCTTCTAAATGTCTTTGAATTCGTGAAGTTGAAAATCATTATATAAATGGTAATATTTAAATAGCTTACAGTTTTATTTATAACCACAATATCTAAATAAATTATATCTCAATAGTTGAAACAAAAACAACTGAGAAATACTTTATTTGTTTATTATTAATATATGTTGAACCTATATTAATATTGTAATACAAATTGTTAACCTCTTAGTAACATATTTCCAAAAATGTGAATTTTCATTAATAATTTTACATGGAAATAATTTTTTTTTTCAAAATGAATTATTAGAATTGATTATGTATATAGTAGCTATTTTGCATTGTAATATTTTATAGTTTTTATTATACTTTGTTGATATAAATTTCACTTTAAGACTTACAGTTTAAATTATCAGAAAATGTTACCTTCTAGCAATAATAACATATAATTACTAAAACAAAAATATAATAGAGGGGGGAAGAAGATTCTGAGAATTGAAGATAATAAATCTATGAATTAATTTTAAAAGGAAAAACAACCATTTATAATAAAACGTTCTCGATTTAATTTGATTTCCGGGAAAGGCTAGAGCTTATTGTATAACTGAGTTTGTCTTAAGACTCAGTTTGAAATATCATATTTCATATCAATATTTACTGGAAAATGTTTTATACAAAAGTTGACAGCTGACACAGAAAACTTTATAACAAGTAATTGTGAACAACAATTTAGGGGGGGGGACTATTTTGTAAATTATTTTTACTTTAGAACTAAATTATTGTTATCAGTGACCAAATAAAATGAAGATATTTGATACTTCATTGTTATATTATGTGTAATAATTTATGCTCAAACTTTAAATGCATCAGAATTAAATACGTTATATAACAGTTACTGTATATTATATAATGTATTTAATTCTGATTCAAACCATTGTAATTTGCTTTTTAGATTTTTAAAAATAATTTAATATGTTATTCTTAAACTTTTGCAATTGATTGGAAATTAACTTCTCATTCATTTGAAGTGTACAAAACAGACCTAATACATTTTGAATTTTCAGTTTGCTGTTTCCATAGATATTGAGTTTCACCAAAACTGCATTTAAATGATATTTGCAAACTTCAGTTATTAAATCCAGCACGTTTTTGTCCTAACTTTATAATCTTTTTGACAAATATAAAATGAACTTGTTGAATAACATATTAACAATTTAAAGATGTGTATTGTGCTCTTGTTAAACCTTGAAAGAGATTTAATTGTTTTACTAATTCATTTACACAGTTTAGCTGATTTATTTATTATCAGAGGATGTGATTCGATTCATGCATTGAGTATGATGTTACAAATTATTAATTATTAAATAAAACTAAAAAAATCTTCATGGTCAATAGTGCTGTAGTTTTACCTCTTAAGCTGTCATATTGAAATCAAAAATAATATACAGTACAAAGTCCGAGATACAGACTCATCGGGACTTCGGCGATCCCGGATTTGGGATTTTTCTGGATATTAGATCATCAGTTTAAATCTAGTATGATGGCATGTAGAAATTATAAAATTAAAAAATATGAAATCATGATTTATGAAAAAATGAAATATTTATGATCTAAAGGGTATAAAAATTTGCAGAAAAAAACTTAATATTTACATGTTTACCTTATTAACACGTTGAGCGCGTCGCCGGTCCCAAACTTTCCGTGTGGCTGGCGTCGGTCACTGGGGACCGGCACTGGAATTTTCATTTGGCTGGCGTCAGTCTGCCAGCCTGACAGTATTAAAGTTAAAAAATAAATATAGTCTCAATGAAATGTGATAAAATTTAGTTTTAATAAAATGTATTGAAACATTCTAAACAAAAATACGACTTAGCGCTGCCGGCTGAACGGAAAGGACAGCAAATTCGCCGCCGCGCTCAACGTGTTAAACATTTCTTTCAATGCAAGTTGTTTAAATAGCTTTGTTTTATGTGCTAATACTTTCTCTTTAATTCTATAGACAGGTATAATTTCTTGTTCAGTTACAGAGTTCCATTGCTCAAGCCCTGTAACTGCTGGGTTGAGAATTCCGACTAACTTGCCAATCGAATTTTTTTCATTTTCAATAACCTTTCTGTCATTTTCTTCACTATAGGTAGCTGTATTTTCTGGACTTAGAATCATACTACAGATTTCGCCGTCTGTTAATTGATTGCTGATTTGGGGCATTGTCATCGCAATGAAAAACTTATGTTAA